AGCAGTTAGGTGTGGTAAGCATATCTATGAAGACTAAGAAAGAGGCTCCGGGGAGGCGCTGTAGTAGGAGAAGCCAGAAGAAGGTAGATAATGAATTCCTCACATAGCACACATACTTATATGAAATGCTTTTTCGCGCAAGCCAAAGACAGCCAAATTAGGATTTAAGTTTTTTGAGAATTTTTCTTGTGAAGTTTTTAGCATTAAAGTCATTATATATTTAAAAAAAATAGATTTATATCTATTATTTATTATAATTTTAGTTAATTTATATATATATATATATATATATATATATATATATATATATATATATATATATATATATATATATATATATATATATATATATATANTAAATATATATATTTATGCACCGCAATGCTGAAAATATTGAATTTACATAAACTCGATTCCAAAATGTTACATCCGCCTCTATTGCTAGCAAGTAGCAACCGAGCACAAAATGAAATCCTATCATAATTTGGGAGGACCTTTAAATAGGATTGCTCACGTAATTACTAGATTTATTATATTATACTTTGCAAGTCTAGATATATTGTTGTTGTTTTCAACACAAAGTGGAATCATATGAGTTTATGTTGACTTGACACAAGAGTAGATATGGTGGAAACAACGAAAAGAGAAACCCTAACATTGAGAAGAAGAAGAAGAGAGAACAGAAGGTTCGAGAGCAAATGAGTCAGTCAGTCTTTACATTGACCAAAAACTAAAAACTATCACTTTTACATAATTGTCTTTTATATTTACAAGTAGTGAAATGTATAAAATGCAAATACAAGTAAATGTACAATTGGGCCGGATCTATGTAATACAACTAATGGGCCTGCTGCTGCTTTCCTTTGTTGGGCTGGTCAGTAGGTAGATTCTGGTTAATACCCCCCTCAAGCTGGAGGGTGATATCACACCAAGCTTGGAGAGAAGTTTATGATGAGGCTGTCCAGTAAGAGCTTTTGTCATAATATCTGCTAACTGATCAGAAGAAGAAACATAATGAAGAGAAAGTAAACCGGAAGTCAAACACTGACGAACGTAGTGGCAATCAATCTCAATATGCTTCGTTCGTTCGTGAAAAACAGGATTTTTAGCCATATGCAAAGCAGCCTGTGAGTCACAAAACATCGAAACTGGGCTGGTAATGTGTAAACCAAGATCGCCCAAGAGACGAACTAACCAAGAAACCTCAGCAGCTGTCTTGCGAAGCGCCCTATATTCAGCTTCAGCAGAGGATAGAGAAATGGTAGGTTGCTTCTTACTCTTCCAAGAGATAGGACTGCCCCCAAGAGTAATAAAATAGCCACTAACAGATTTGCGAGATATCACACAAGAAGCCCAATCAGAGTCAGAATAAGCTAGAAGAGAAAAATCTGGACAACTGAATAGAAGAACACCCTGAGCAGGATCTTTCATTAGATAACGAAGCACATGTAACGCAGCCATCATGTGAGGAACCTGAGGCTTTTGCAGAAATTGACTCAAATGTTGTACTGAGAAAGATATATCA